CCCGATACCTAACTGGGGCAGACGTGGTCATGGTAGCGCGGTCAGAGCATAGAAAAGACTATGCTATTGCGCGGCAGAAATACGTGTGATTCTATACCAGAACACTCGTTTTCTTATTCCGTATTTTTTTAAAAAATGATAAGGATCCTCTGAAAGGTAAAAAAACGAAGTTTGAGCGATTTTTAATTTTTTGTTTTAGGCTTTTTTCTGTGCCGCCACTGGACCGATTGTCAAAAATTTTTAGGGTTTTGCGTCTTTGTCAAAGTAGTAACATTGTGTAAAAATTTCATCTAAATACGAGCAGTACTTCTCAGGTTATAGGTGGTTATCAGATTAACGGCCCGACTAACAGACAGACAGACTGACGGAACTTACATGGTTTTTTGTGATATAGGTACATGTCATATAACATCCAAAAAACAAAATATTCGCGATTACAATGCTTCCCGGCCAGTAGGCGTGGGAAGAAAAAAATTGTTGGAATTCGAATTCTTTTCCGGATACCGTTAGTGACATGACCACTAAATAAAACGGCTGGTTGCTTGACATCGGATTCAAATACGCCGTATTCCCATAATTAACATTTCAAGAATACGCACTATGACACTGCCAACCACCTATGCTTACAAATATATATAGAGGAGAGGAACCAAATTTGAGACAGGCGCCTAATTTGAGACAGTGGTGTAACTTTGAATCTATGTAGCGCCATCTTCTAGTAATACCAAAAAGTGTTGAACTAAGACGCAGTAGTATTCTAGATGTGTTTACAGTCTAGTTTTGCACATGGTTTGCTGAGACATCACAACTTGTTGCTTGTTCAGAGTCGAAAATATTTTTAATAGTGCGAGAAAAGTGATTACTAAAAGTGAGGTAAGATACTTAGAACACTTGTCTGATATAAATTTAGTAGCTTACAAATACCTTATTTATTTTCTTTTTCAATATTGTGATTTTATTTTATTACATAACCTAAATATGCTTGTTTGAACTTCTTAACGGAAAATTCCTAATTTGAGATACCCAAGTGTTCCTAATTTGAGACTATCTCAAATAAGGGCCCTGTATCAAGAGATTATCTTTTATTTTTTTTATATTGCAGATGCCACCGAAACACAAAAAGTGGAACCCAAATGACATGATAAAGGCCATCGAAGCTGTAAAGAATAAGGAGATGGGTTATTTGAAAGCCGCAAAAGTTTTTGGAGTACCTAAAGGGACCGTAGAAAGATATGTTAGATCCGGTAAGGATCCAAGAGAACTTGTAGACACACCAATTGGTCGCAAGACTATTCTTTCCCCTGAACTTGAAAATCAGTTAGTACAATATGCATTAGCTATGGAAGAGCGATTTTTTGGCTTACGTGCGCGTGATATAAAGCGTTTGGCATTCCAGCTTGCGTTACGAAATAGCATATCTCATCCTTTTAATGGACTTAAAAAATCAGCAGGAAAGAAATGGCTACGACTATTTCTAAAAAGACATCCTCAGCTATCCATGAGAACGCCACAAGGCATGTCAGCTGCTCGTATAAAGTCTTTCACCCCTGAGAAAGTCTCAAGCTTTTTTGACCTATATGAGGCCGAATATAACAAAATTCTAAATCCTTTTCACAGGATATTCAATGTAGACGAAACGGGTATTACTGTGGTTCAACATAAGCACACTAAGGTTCTCTCTCTTAGAGGAAAGAAGCAGATTGCATCACTTACTTCAGCAGAGAGGGGTAAATTGGTCACAGTAATTACTTGTATGAACGCTTCAGGCGTGTATGTACCACCACTGTTAATCTTCCCCAGAAAAAATATGAAAACAGAGCTAATGTTAGGAGCCCCAAATGGAGCAATTGCGGAATGCCATATATCAGGTTGGGTACAGGCAGATATTTTTACCCGATGGTTAGATCACTTTATAAAATTTACAAAGCCTACTGCTTCTAATCCAGTTCTTTTAGTATTAGATGGTCATTATTCTCACACAAGGAACATTGACCTGATAGATTTAGCAAAACAAAATCATGTGGCAATAATATGTCTTCCACCACACTCAACAAACAAGATGCAACCATTAGATGTCTCGTTTATGTCACCATTAAAGACTTTCTATGCACAGGAAATAGAGAATTGGCTTCGAGAGAATCAGCTAAGTACTGTTTCCCCATATGCAATTTCTAGCATTTTTTGCAAAGCTTACAATCGAGCTGCTACAATGGAAACCTCTTGTAATGGATTTCGGAAAACAGGACTGGTGCCTATCAACAGAAATATTTTTAGAGATTCCGATTTTAGCGTTCATCGGGTGGAAGATCGGATTGACACCGTAGATCCCTGTGAAGTAGACCATCAAGGTGATGATACAGCACAGCAAATACATGAGAATGCGGCTACTTCTGCTGATTTCACAGGTGATAATCTAGTGAATCAAGATGCAAGTACTTCTATCGCAAACGAAATTGCAAGCATCACTAATTTCGTAGACACTGTAGAATTTAGAGTGCAACAACGAACACCTAGCCCGAATTTAGAACAACAAATACAATTTAAATTAGTCTCTCCAACCGATATTTGTCCTTTGCCCTCATATAAAAAACAAAATACAGTGAGCAGAAGATCAGGAAAGGCAGTAGTCATTACTCACACGCCATATAAGAAAGAGTTGCAGGCAAGCTTAGAGAAAAGACAGATGAAAGCAATTCCCAAAAAAAAATTGGATGCTAATTTAAACCAAAATAGCATATCCACACAAAATCAACCCTCCACATCTGGAGCTAATAGGTCAATCAACCAGAACCAGCCTTCTACATCTAGTGCTAAAAGGTCCAAAAGGATTCGGATACCTTCCCACTCCAGTTCAAGTTCAGAATCTAGCGGAAGCCTTAAGTTGGATGATTTATCCTCAGACGAAAGCGGTGGAAGCGATGCTGAATGCTTATTTTGTACGGGTCGATTTTCTGAAGATAAGAAGGGCGAAAAATGGGCCAAATGCAGCCATTGTAGTAGATGGGCACATGAAGATTGTGGAGAGATTGCCAATAAAATTTTCATTTGCACTTTCTGTGAAGGGAAGGGGTTTTTCGAATAGTATCTTAAATAAGGGTACCTATCTCAAATTTGGATAACTATCTATCTCAAATTAGGGAACCAGCTGTAAATCTACAAAAATGTTTACTTTTATTTAAATACACTTTTCGCCTGTAAAAGAAAACATTTATAGTTATTTTTTTTAGTTTAGAGTATGCTAGGAGCATAAAATCGCAAGTTTATTTAAATATATAACCTTGTTTAAAACAAAAAGTATTTTATTTTCCCTTCACAAAAAAAGTATCTCAAATTTGGTTCCTCTCCTCTACCTGTCGACCACCGTCTTTAGGCGACAGCGGGCCACCCCTCAGAGTGTCACCACAGGATATTCCAAATGCGAAATCATAGAAATACAGGTAGTTACGAGGGAGGTTGACGGATAACTCTTGCTTGGAAGGTTGATGTCATGTTTAAGAATAAGCGATTTTCTTTTAAAGAAAACCGTCGGTTGTCATTGCTTTTAAGGATAATACTATGATGCTACTGGACAACATGACTGCGACGATGCAAATTGGATGTGAATGTTCAAAAATACAGCATACAAGTCTAACGGTTGTCATCTATCTTGAAGAACACGTTAATGAATGGTATTACTATGACCCCAATCCCCTAGGCACTCGCCGCTTTATCTTTATCAGGGCTCATCGATAAGAATAAACTGCCCGTTACTTAAATTTGCTGATAACTCGTCAACTGACTGAATTCTTTTCCGGATACCGTTAGTGACATGACCACTAAATAAAACGGCTAGTTGCTTGACATCGGATTCAAATACGCCGTATTCCCATAATTAACATTTTAGGTATACGCACTATGACACTGCCAACCACCTATGCTTACAAATATATATACCTGTCGACCACCGTCTTTAGGCGACAGCGGGCCACCCCTCAGACTGTCACCACAGGATATGCCAAATGCGAAATCATAGAAATACAGGTAGTTACGAGGGAGGTTGACGGATAATTCTTGCTTGGAAGGTTGATGTCATGTTTAAGAATAAGCGATTTTCTTTGAAAGAAAACCGTCGGTTGTCATTGCTTTTAAGGATAATACTGTGATGCTACTGGACAACATGACTGCGACGATGGCAATTGGATGTGAATGTTCAAAAATACAGCATACAGGTCTAAGGGTTGTCATCTATCTTGAAGAACACGTTAATGAATGGTATTACTATGACCCCAATCCCCTAGGCACTCGCCGCTTTATCTTTATCAGGGCTCATCGATAAGAATAAACTGCCCGTTACTTAAATTTGCTGATAACTCGTCAACTGACGTGATTCCAAATATCGACGTCGTAATGACGTCTACTAGAAATCATCCAATTGTGAAAGTGTACTGTAGGACGTTGTGAAGACGTGTTTTTGGCTAAAGTCAATGTGTTATGTATTCTTGGAGCTGTTTTTACATTTAATCTGGCAACGCTGTATCGAATGAAAAATGTTATTCCTTCCGCGCCCCCGCCATTTTGACTAGGTCCCATTGTTGCAGCAACTACCACATACTGAGTATTCCCAGAACTATAGGAAACTTGGCCACCTTGAAAATAGTTGGGTTAACGTGACATTGAGTCGCTAGCATGTTGTGCACAGTACCATGTGTATTACCCGTAGTATTACACAACTCGTAGTAAGTCGTCCTTCGTCGCTACGAGAGCAACACCGATTTATAGCCTATGGTGCTCCAACTGTGTAATGCTACTGGCAACACAGGATATGATTTTTTAAGAAGCTACAGAAGCCATTTTCACGTCTGCCGTATGACGTCAAACAGGAAATGACATAAGGGGACATTTTCACGTAACTTTTACGTAATTCAACTCGTGCTTCCTCGTCATTTCATGACCAATTTGTAACGTCATTTTCACGTGCTTGTGCTACCTGGGGACATTTACAAAAGGTTTATTTTCCACAGGTATGTGCAACAAGCACCACACAGACAGTATGACAACTACGGCGACCAAGGAGATTATGTGGAACTAGACGTAAGACCACCTTTGCCACCTCCTGCAGCTGGACGACTACGATACGACCAACGGGGCCCACCACCGCCACATTACGACGATTATTATTAAATAATTAGCATTTCAGGAATTTCTGATTTACTACATGTTAATTGAAAATGTTTGTGAAAGAATAGGGATTGAGAAAGCAGGTTCCCAAGGATGTAAATATTAATGATAACGTCTGTTGAAAGGCCACTGTAGTAATACGATCTGACCATAATATCTTTCCGCAATTTTAGTATGGGTATTTTTTCTTTCGAACATAATACTTACCAAAATTATAAGACATATTTATTTAGTACGAACCAGCGCTGATTCTATAAAAATCTAAAGTCACTATCATGTTCTAGTAATGATTATTTTTTAATAGCTTCCACGCATGTATTATATTTTTGCATGTGTCATGAGATATAAACAAATATATAATGGATAGTTTTGTAACAGCATCGAAGCAAAGCATTCATCACAATGGCCTATTCAAATGCAGTGGAACATAGTAATTTATTTTTGTTTTTAGCTTGAACTTTTGTATTATGATAATTTAAGTTATTGAATAAACGATTGATCATATTTTAGTGTATCAATTATCTTCCAATATGGTATTAACACCAGGACAAGTTGCATTTTTAGAACATGAAATAGACCGTTTGTTCGTGTTTATTCGTCTGAGTGTTGGAAAACGTGAAAATTGTAACATAAAACACTTGAATTGCCTGCATCTCTTGTCGAAGGAACCATCAAAAAGGTTTAGACCGATATTTAAGGTATCATTTCAGATACTGAAGGCATGCAGAAAACATTCCATGTCCAACTATCATGATATATCTAACGTCAGGTAGAAACCTAGTGTATGTAATAGCTTTCGACAAAACTTTTGTTGTGGGAAATATGTCATTCAAACAACGTATCGTTATAGTGTACGAGGTGGTGATTGATTTTTTTTTAATTTTTTTATTCAAACATAATTACAATTTTATATTGTCACTCTTAAAACGACTTCCTTCTGAAGCCACACAGCGCTGCAGACTGTTCTTCCACTCCTCATAGCAGTGCTGGAGCTCCGATACTGGAATAGCCTTCCGCTCGGCGGTTACATCCGTCTTCCACTGTCCCAAAATGTGTTCCCTTGAGGTGATTTTTCAACTTCGGGAAGAAGAACAAGGACTCAAGACAGGCGAATAAAAGTACGCTGAGGAGCCACAGGAATGTTTTTACTGGCCAAAAATATTTGCTTATTGACATTGCTGTGTGATAAGGACCATTGTTCTTCAACTGATGAACGGTGGTGTGTGTCAAATTTAACTGTTCTCTGATCATTCTCACTGTCAACCGACGAACTAAACGCGTTCCCTTTCATACGGTTCATCTTCAATCGACTCTCTTCCTTCTGGAAATGCCTTATACCATTGAAAAACCTGAGCGCTTAACAAAACGCAGACCTGTTTTGCAAGAGTTTCTGTTGCACTGTGCCCAAGTCTGAAGCAAAACCTGATAGGCAACCCTTATATCACTCATTTTTAGAATACAATAGAAAAAACTGTTTCACAAAAAAATCGCTACGGATAACCAAGCGAATCGAGCGAGCACATGTTCTCCTGTCTCCTCTCCAAGCGCAGCACCTCCAGCGTTGCCAGATCGAACGCTACGTTGCGAGTCTCATCATTTGATTTACACTCGTACGTATTATTATAATGCATGTTCAACAGATTTGTTCCTCTGAACTTTGTTTCATGGGGCAGCTACACCCTAAAATAAATCAGTTGTCATTTACTCCACGTCAAAACAAAAATGAGCACTCAGTTGTCGCTTCTATTTGTTTGTCGCTTCACACATTTCATCTCTAGTTACTTTTTAACTGGTCGCCTAGCAAATATACAACCCCCCATAGTACCCTCAGTTACTGCTTGAGATCAACGGAAACCTGTATAAACCAAAAGCAATTTTCCATCTACCAATCGTAACCGCTCGTGTTTGGCTTTGAATTCTTCATTTTAAGCGACATGAATCAAATCCAAGCGGATAACCAACATTTCCGTATTATGTACCGCGATTGTAATATGGTTCAAGATGACACACGGGATGATAACGTCAGTTACTCGAATCGCTTGAACGCGTTGGTTTTAACCGAGGTTTGTTGCAAGTTGTTTATTTTAGAAAAGCGCGTATATAATTTCTGATTATTTTTATTATCACTTAATAGTCGGTGCTTTTTCGTCTACAACGGGGTATGGAAAGTTGAAAAAAGAAAACTTTCATAATATTAATGGGAGGAATGTTTTTTTTTCAGAAAATTTTTTTTACTGATGGAACCATGGCTTTGTAGCTATGATAACTTTCAATTCTCTAAACTTTTCCTCATGTCAAAGAAAATATTTATTGAGTTAGCAGAAATGATGAAAAAAGATATTAACAAAACCGTATACAGGTGGACATCATCCAGTTAGTTTATACGGCCATATTTTAATATTCTTGTGGTATATGGCTATACAGGATACTTTGTTAAGCGTAGGAACTAGATTTAAAGTGTCCCCAACAACAGTAATGATTATAAATAATAAGGTGCTCTACTTTATGCTAAAACTGAAGTCAGCCTGTATCAAGTTTCCCAAAAATGAAGCTGAAGTACAATAAAAATATCCAATACCCGGCAAAATTCTAACATGTCACATGTCAAATAATAACCAGAAATATAAAACTACTCCCAAGTTGGGTAAATACCACAATTTTGCGGTGATAATTATGACATATAACAGCTGATTCATGACGTCACGGATCTTATAACCAAACTGATAACCACACTCGCTTGAACGGATCGGTAAATACCAATCCAAAATGGTAAATACCATTTCCATTTGGTTATCCGCTTGAATTTGATCATGGTCTGTAACAACTGTCAAATTATGACGTCACAAGCTGGCCCTTCGTGACGTGACTGTTTCTGGCAGATCAACCTTGTGTGACTTTAAATTTTCCATAAAAGGTAAACAAGGATCGGATGACAATGGACGTATAACTACTGAGTTTCTATGAAGTACTCCATTGTTTTTAACAGAGTTTAAAAAGTAATAAAATGCAATCAAGTATGCTGTTAGTTTCACAGTAAAGTATTCACCTATATTTGAATCACCTGTATAATCGTCAACAACGATACTACAGGGTGGGCCATAAAGATGTTGGCAATTTCAATATTCAATTAAAAAATAACTACGCAATATTAAAGGAAAATAAATGTATTTTTAAAAAGTAGAAAGATAGGAATTTTTAAGGCTTAAAAATAGTGTCCTTCAAATGACTTCCTGCGGCTGCTTGGCACTCTTGAAACCGAAGCTGCAGATTTTGAAAAACACGTTGAAAAGCTGTTCTGGGTATTTTGTTACTTTCCTGAACAATATTCCTCTTCAGCTGCTCTAAATTAGTTGGATTATTCTCGTAGACCACCGATTTGAGGTAGCCCCATAGCAAATAATCGGAATAAATGGAGAAAGATCGGAGCTACGTGGTGGCCATTCAATATCCCCCCTTGTCGAAATGAGTATTCCGGGAAAGACATTTTTCAGCGGCTCTACAGATACCCTAGCTGTATGACATGTTGCCTCATCTTGTTGAAACCACATTCTGGAGGTATTGCCCCGGAGTTCTTGTAAAGCTGGCACCAAAAAGTCTGTTAATCATATTGCAATAATTGTTAGCTTTAACTGTCATTGCTTGCCCTCTTTCGTCCTCAAAGAAGTACGGTCCAATAATACCGGTTGACGTAATTCCAGACCACACGTCTAGTTCAGGGCTGTGAAGTAGACGTTCATGTAAGCGTCGGGGATTAGTTTCGGAACAGAACCGACAATTTTGTTTGTTAACATGGCCATTGAGGTGAAAATTGGCCTCATAAGCTCGTTCTTTTGATGTAAAAAGCCTGACTTCTCTTACGTGTTGACTGAAACACGAACACGCTCTGCATTGTCGGCTGATCATACAGAAACTGCACGACCACGAGCTGTTATTGCTACTGTCGAGCCGGTTGTTTCGAACATTCTGATCCATTTCCGTACCACATTGACTTGGAACTTCTCTTAAATCGCGTAAACCGTATTCATGTCGCTACAAACATCATGCAGTAATAACCGATTTATTGTTTTCATAATAAGCTCGGACACAAAATGCACGCTGCGCTCCCGTGTACGGCCCATGGCGACTAAGTTTCCAGGCAACGGCGCGGCTAACAGCTTATCCCCCCAACCCGCGCCCCGCGTTTCGGAGAAATTTAAGATTTAAATCGACAACACTCTTATGGCCCACCCTGTATAACTCGAGACGTCACGCGTCCGATAGGCCGTTGCAGCAAAAAACCGTTGCGTGTTGAAACCATTTCTCCGTCCTGTGTAAGAAGCATGGATCCTATATACCAGGAGAAACGCAATGCTGTACGTGCTGTATAAAAGACCCCGAAACTTGACGCCTGGATTATCAGTGGTGTTTTAGCTCTAACGGTTCCATCATATGAACACTTCTCTAATAGTCTAAGATCCGGACGCTTGAATAAAACTTGATTTTGATGGCTACAACCTCAGATACCCCGCGAAAGTTTTGAGGTCTTTTTTGTCATTTCGCCTCCACGCTATCACGGTTCGTCGCTTAAAATTGCTTCAATATTCGCAAAATAGTGTGCAGGACCTCTCATCTACTCCTTCCTACATGATAATGTGTCTTTGGTGACGAGAAACCACAGAACAGACTTTCCAGAATTTTGTTAAGTTTGCTAGACTATTTTTAACTTATTTAGAGCAGTCGCGGTTCCCCAATATTTAGGTTTTGCTTTCAGGATCGCTTGAAAATGAAACTCTAAAAAAAACTGCAGAGATAATAAATGTTGCCATACACAGGCTGTATATATTTCACGAAATTATTGCTTAATATATGAAAAGTACAACTATTATGTATTACTTCTGATTATTACTTGGTAAAGTACTAGTACTAACAGAGTTAGAATTGGAGGATCCGCCTTCCCCATCTGGAGCTGGCCTCCTTCCAGTAATCTCCGTTATAAGACTCGAACTACTTGTTTGACCACTTGGAATAAGTACATCGCCATATAAATGTTCAAACTTCTCTGGGTCAAAGCCCAAAGAGGACTGTATGTTTGGCCTTGAAGAATGGTCCAATTTTTCTAACATCGCTTCCGTGTCCAAATTGGTACCAGAAGTTGAACATCCGGAAACGTATCTGCTGGTTAGCGTTCCAGATGAGAGAAGGGTAAGTTTTTCGAGGAGGGAGTTTATGTGTTGTTTTCCTTCTTGGAGCTGTTGATCTAATGTATGTTTTGGTTTTTCTGAAAAAAATGTTCAAATATCACTAACTGCGATCTGTACATCATCCTCTCAGCTAGTCCCAAACGACGTCGTTTCGTTCTTATTGTAACTCGTCAGTACAATATTCGTGTAGGTCTAGGATGGAGGAAAGAGTTGGTGAAACCATGCATTTTGGAATAATGAAAAGAGCAAATATTCTACGGACCATCTTACAGAAAGAAACAAATTCTCAATAAATTGCAACTAAAAGGTCCACATGTTAAAACTTCTGACTTACTCCGTTCTCTCTCTGAAACGTCTTTGTTTATAGACTGATCAGAGTTACTGTTTCCAGTCACATCATTATCCGCCTCGCTTAGTGATATACTCGAAGCAGGATTGTCACTTTTTATTAAAGAATTTTCTGAACAACTCATTAAATTGCAATAGTTCGATGTACCTTTACCGTCTTCGTCTTCCATCAATAATGATACACCTAGAAAACAGAGATTTGGATACTCCAAATAGCCCTCCACGTTCTATTTCAATGCTAACTGATACTATATCCTGATTGTTTCATGTAAAGGATATTATTATGCAACGATGAGGAAGATATAATAGTTTTACACAAGGCAAAAGATGTAACAGCTGAAACTTATCCTGTGGATTTCATGCTGACATCATCCAAATTCGAAGAAAAGATCTAATTGATTTTCTCCAATCCAACTAATCAATCATAAGTTTTTTACTTCCAGATTTTTTCTTACGGCTTGTTATTGGATCTCGAATGCGCGGATGCCTTACTTCGCCATCTGAAGGCCAAACTTATATTATTTCGTTAAAAGACAGACAACATGGTTCCCTTCAGATGTCGAAGTACTAATTCTCGTATTTCAGACCCATAAACAATGCACATGCAGCTTTTGTAGTCAAAGATTGCATAACCGGTGTGTTGCAACATTAATTCTGGGTGGGTTTTTCGCGTTTTAGGAGAACATTTAACGTTTTTAGAACGATGAATGAGAGTGAAGCGTCCCGCATATTAAAAAAACGACAGATAGCCTCATGCTCGCTTATCGCTCTGAAAGGCCTTTGAGAGCGGGAATGCACACATTGTCTGAAGTGTCACCTGGAAGAAAGATAAACAAAATATACTGTCATCAGAACTGTCAATTCTACAAGAAAAAGGCCACCGAGGTGGCCGAAAGACATCGTCAGGTAACAGTGTTTTGAACATATGTGGTTTCATTTAGTAGCCAGACAAACATGGATGATTACACGACAAAAAGTTATAATGATTACACGACAAAGTTAAGAAAAAGTTAAAACAATCATACCACCAAATGTTTAAAAATTCCTCTTTATTGTACGACGTTTCAAGCCCAGCGGTGACCTCGTTCAAGTACAATTTTAGACATATTATACATATGTATATGGTTTGATTAGGCCAGAGAAACATTAGTGATTATCAACATGAAAACACAGGATGAGTTACAGATATTAAATCATTATTATCCGACACAAATCATATGTTACTTAAAATCTGTGCAGAATATGAGCTATACCTGAATTTTCCACTTTTTTCTCTGCCTGTATAGTATTTTGTATCTTTTGCGCCTCGTCTTCGAAATTGATAGTGTCGAAATCGTCTTCAATGCACAGTGCATTGATGTCATTCTCAAACTCCTCTGCCATCTCATCATTGGAGCTGTCAGACTCATTTGTCACTTTTGACAGCCTCAGACGTAACCTAGAAATTTAACAATTGTGAATACCCTATTTCACGAGTATCCATCAGGCTGTGACGTCTACTGAGGTGAAGAGCTGATCAGCAAGTGACATTTTTGTGTTAGTCTGCGACGTTGGCAATAAAGAATCGGGTGTAAATCTAGTAAAACTTGTTTGTAGCGTTTTGTTTTTTGTATGCAAATGAATTTTTCTAAGTAAAAGAGCTGTTAGCAAGTACAAAATGAAGCTGTAGCGTACAAAACATCAAAACAAAATACGGCTCTGATAATCAGCTGTCATTCTACCGTGATGTGGATATTCGTGAAATAGATGAGTCGACCACCATTCTTAGGCATCAGAGTTGCCACCTCTCGGTCTGTACTCATAATAAGCAATGCATCAAGTACTACTTTGATCTAAGCTCCGACTATCGGGTATTCGGTCAAGTTTGAATACCGATTTTTGGAAAATGTGTATTTTATATAATTTTCAATCCTTCCGATTACATGTAAATCACAATCGTAAGACATTCAGAAGGTATACACTCAACATCTTAAACATACATTTTTATTGAAGGTAGGAAATGTGAGGCTCCAAAAGCTGCTTGGAATTCTAAAAATTACCTAATAGCATCGCTGCCAGGTCATAGCCATCACGAACACTGAATTTAAATTCTGTAGGATTTTGGAGCTGCCTTTGGGAGGAGGATACAAACGAAATACAAAACTGCTGGTTGTCATGGCGGGACCAGTACTAATTTGGGAAGCATTAAACCAAAATTATCCTTAACGTATAAGTCAAGGTTCTCTTTGCTGAAACGCGGAATACTCGTTATTCACGTTACAATTCGATTTTGTTTATTGTTTTGTAGTTTCTTTTTGAGTGATTACATGAAAGATAAAGGAGTAAAGAGATAATACAAAAAGGCAATACTACAATGTGACATCAGTTCAAACTGATATGGTAGCTGCTCCATGGGCCATATTGTTCATGAAAAAACATGTATTAGCAACACCTTGTACATAGAGCTACGCAAATACCGCAAATACACTAGCGCACTGGAAGAAGGCTGTCAACATTTACTGAAACCCATCCAAATCAGACTGCTAATTCCGGAAACAATATGCTGTAACCTTTGCTATTTCTTCGATGGAGGGTTAATTTCTCGGGAAACATATCAGCGGGGATTGAGCTGAGAATTTGCACATCACATAATATGCTGCATATATTATATGCAGTTCAGTGGTTTACGAGGGATGTCTTTCAAGTTTTGCATATAGAAACATAGTAGGCCGCGCGGATCGAACGTCAGTACTGAATCTTAACCTCACTCTTTAGTAAACTTAAATTCGAAGTTTCGCAACAATACGTGCAGTGTGTTCTCACTACAGTGAATTTTTAAGTGTCACCAAGTCATTAGAAAAATGGAACTCAAACGAGAACATTTTCGCGCCATAATTTATTACAACTTTCAGAGACAATTATTATTGCAACAAGAATGCCTTGCTGAGTTACTGTCTGTTTTCGGCAATGAAGCGCCACATCAGTCGACAATTTTCCTTTGGTATGCAGAATTCAAACGTGGACGGGTGAGTCTTAGTGACGATCCCAGGGTGGGTGCACCAAAAACGGCAGTCGCCCAGGAAAACGTCGATGCTGTGCGCAAACTCATCATTGAAGATAGACATGTGACATATCGCGAGATTGAGGCGTCCTTGAAGATCTCAAAGACCTCAATTCAAAAAAATTTACATGAAGAATTATGAGTAAGAAAATTAGTTTCTCCTTGGATATTCCACCTGTTGACTGAAAGCAGCCAGGGTTAATTGGTGTCAAAAAACGCTTGACCGTTTCAATTCCGGAAACTCAAAATATGTGTACAGCATTGTTAGTGGTGATGAATCGTGGATTTACTGTCATGAACCAGAAAATAAACGACAGTCGGCTGTTTGGGTGTTCCAAGGTGAAGAAAAGCCAACAAAAGTCATCCGTTCTAGAAGTTTTTCGAAAAAGATGGTCGCGACAAAATCGGGTCATATTGCAACAATTCCTCTTAATGAACAAAGAACTGTTACTGCGGATTGCTATACCACCATTTGTTTGCCAAAAGTCATCACCGAGCTTCGAAAAATCAACCCCGAAAGAAGAATCATCCTCCACCAAGACAATGCAAGCTCGCACACAGCCCAAAAAACAAGGCAGTATTTAACGGAAGAAAACGTGGAATTATTGGACCATCCTCCATATAGTCCCGATCTAAGTCCTAACGATTTCTGTTCTTTCCCGAAAATTAAAAACAGACTGCGTGGTCAAAGGTTCCAGACTCCAGAAGAAGCAGTTGACGCATTCAAAAATGCCGTTTTGGATCTGCCACCAAACGAGTGAAATAAGTGCTTCGAAAATTGATTCGAGCGCATGCAGATGTGTATTAATCTTCGTGGAGAATACTTCGAAAAACAATAAAGTTATTTAAAACTACCTACCGTGTTGTTTTAGTTCCATATGCAAAACTTAAGAGACATCCCTCGTACGCAAGTTGCGTGACTTGCTTTCAGATCGATTAATTCAATACAGTGCGAAACCTGGTACTTGGTAAAATGGACCGAGTATGCCCAGTGCCGGATGAAAACCGAGTGTTCGGTGAATCCCGATTGATAATACGAAATCTTAGTAATAACCAGGGGGGGGATTGAGGGGTGCTCTCTCGTTGGAGGGTTGACGTCATGAAGATTGAGTCTGTTTTTCATTACTTCTGCGCGAATCAATTGTAATATCCAACTCGGCAACATGACTGTAAAGATGAAAAATGTATTAACGTCCAAACACAGGATATGGTTTGGCATCGTCTTGAAAAATACGTTGATATTTCTGCCCACCTACGTGTGACTTTCAATTCATCAAATTATTCACCCTGAATGTGCAACAACAAACCACTGTTACCACTGACACATTTAAACTCCCGTGATTCAATTGTGTAATGTTCGTATCAACATATAGTCAAAGGTACAAACCTTTGAGTTATTTCATCCAATTCAACAAACTTCCTCTTCAAAGCCCTAGACAACAACTCAGATGGTTCTTGCTGATCTGGTGGCTGAACAGTCTGAACATTATCATTAATTTTTGTTTCCTTTGCTGCATTTGCATTTGAGCAATATTTAGATAGATCTTCTAATGGCATAATATGAATCTGAAATAACGGACACATGTGGTTAAGACTTTGTCAGTTCAACTTCATAATTACAGAGTCTTACATTTATCTGACCATTACATTTTCCAGAAAAATCCATAATGTTAAACCAGCCTTGAATGTTTGGAAATCCTGCTAAAAGTACTGTCAAATCCACGGCTGCAAATCCTAATACTACATCAGTTTGCATATTTGGACTAGTTACTGCATTTGTGGACTTTCTCCATACTTTGAAAATCAGTCTTTTTTGACCCTGGAAAAGATATTGTAAGCAACGTTTAATTTCAAAAACTAGGTTTGGGATCTTGTATCACATAAGACTTCTGATCTCTGTTTAAAATTGAAACGTTCTAACAAATCTTGAATCCCCATTTGCTTATATAACTTACATTCGTCAGGAAATCAGAGGACAAGAATACTTCCCGTGTATAGTTCCAAACAGGGCTTGTGCCTTTTGACACAACTGGTGTTGTGTATAACTCAGAATTCACTAGAGATTCAAAAGTGACATAGCAGCTTGGTGAAACATCTTCGTTTCTCGACGAACGGTTTTTTGATTTTCTTGGTTTGGCCTTCTTCCTGCTGGGCAAATGATTGGCGCTAAGTATAGACACCTTAGCCTTAACCTTTGCTGGAAGAAAAATAATAGATGAACACTTCCTTATACTGGTTCATATTAAGCCCAATTTGCCCTGTAGCCTATTTTAGTACAAACACCTTTCAAAGGATTAGGTCAAACTAAATGAGAAATTTTTAGCCTATATTGCAGCTTTGGCTAATTTGAAGTATAGGCATAAAAAAGATCATTTTTGTATCACACAGAAATTTGGAAAAAGTAAATGTTTGAAAAAGGAATTGAATATCAGTGTGATCTTCAAACAAGACTTTCATTTCTGCAAGAGCATTAAAACTCAGTTGAAAGATATAAAACCTTATCCACAATGAACACATATTTTTCCATTTTTACCTTGACTAGTATCTATTTCCTTTTCTTTGTTCTCCTTCTTATCAGTAGCTAAAGCATTCTGTAACATATCCAACAAATCAGACGTCTTTCTCAGCTCCACATTTGTTCTTTGCCTAGCATTATCAATACTACCACTTGTACCAACATCAATATGCAATGGTTCAGTGTTTGTGCTATTCTCGACACAGACATTTCTCTGTCTTTGGTCTATGAGATGGTTCAAAAATGAGCCCAACATGTCCTGACTTGATGGACCATTGTCCTTTTTTTCGTCCATTTCTGATTGGGTACCTACGTCTGTGCTACTTTTTTTATTAGCCACTTTACCTACAAAGATAATTATGTTCAAATTTAATAGTTCAGCATTAGCTAAAATATGTGTTGGATAAATAAAGTTTAAAATTAGTACTCAGAATGACCAATGACCAGCTTAGTTTGAAATGCAAATTGTTAATGCCAATATATAACTGACTGATTTAAATTGCGCGCCATTTTTGATACCCGCATTTCAGTACCTTGCGCCGTAACAGTTGTTCAAAGCACATGTGTCAAATTCATCGTGGAGCGCTACACGATCCGCCAACGCGTCCGTATTGATAAAACGTTTTACTTAAATAATGAGTCGATTGTTCCAACGATTCGGAAGCTACGACAAGATTTCGATCAAAAGGATGTGCCCAGTGTCAACACCATTTGTCAGTTGGTGCGGAAGTTTGAACAAATAGATGAAGTGAAAGACTTTTAAGGTGTGACCGTGTTCGAACTGTTCGTACTCGGGAAAATATCGAGAGAGTTCGTGAAAGTGTAGTGGAGCGCCCTGAGACGTCTACAAGACATCGTTCTCAAGAATTGGGTATTTGTCGCACGGCATTATGCACGATTTTAAAAAAAGACTTGCATTTGCGTCCATACAAAATTAGGTTAACCCAACAACTGCAGCCTAGTGACCACGAAAGTCGCCGACAATACAGTCATGCAATATTGCAGCTTAGTACCCAAAATAACGATTTTTACCGACAAAAATAATGAGCGACTAAGGCCACTTCGATATGAACGGATTTGTTAATAAGCAGAATTGTCGTATCTGGGCATTAGAGAACCATCGTGTCATCCATCAACGACCACTACATCATCGTCGAGTCACAGTTTGGTATGGAGGTGTCATTATACCTCACTTCTTTGAAGACGCCGCAGGTCACCGGATTTAACGGCTCCTTATTTTTTTTATGGGAATTTTTGAAAAATAGGGTGTATGCCAATAAACCAAATACTGTAGAGCAGCTGAAGAACAATATTACGGAAGCGATTGAAAATATTCCTCCCGAAACCTATCAACAAGTGATGGAAAATGTGATCAAGAGGGCTCAGGTTTGCGCGGCTTCTAGAGGCGGACATTTGTCTGATGTTATTTTTCATACATAATTTCTAAGTTTCAATAAAAGATTAAAATGAAAAAACTTGACGTATTTTATTTCATTTCATAAATATTCAGGTTACGAGCCAGTCAGTTACATATCGGCCACCGCATATATCTTAGTAGTGGGTTATTTTATAATATGCGTTTATGAGATTTTTTTGTTATTTTTGGTTTTCTACCCTAGAAATAATGCCATTGTTTTTTTAATCTCTTTGAATAGGCGGCAGCAGTGGCCGCAGTAGTAGACTCTTTGGTCTCCTGATCAGTCGCCGTGCGCTGTGCGGGTTCGGTTCCCGTCCCAAGAGAAATTTTTCTCTTGGCTATGGATGTTGCGATTATCCGTAGGTGGTAGGCGGTCTGACTGTCGAACGCAGAGGTACCACCCGGCGAATCTCGTAGGCGGGGCCAGAATGTGTGCATGTTGCATGCACACGTGTTCCCTCGCCAAAGTCCGTGTGGCGTTCCCCCTTTCCCCTGTAGCCTCACGGTACCCCATGGGTATTTAAGCCTTAGGCCTTTGTGGTGGGTGGTGGTTGGAGTATAAACAAATATAAATAAACATGTGTAAGCATAGAGTGTTTCAATAATTTCTACTTAACTAATTTTTTAAGCAGAGATAATCATTTATAAAGCATATGAGAGTAATTACCAAGCTTGAATTCCTCAGGTGATTTGTGTTGCCTTCCACTGAAATCTAGAATATTGCTATTATCTTTGTTTCGGCTTGACTGATACACTTTATTTGAATCAAAGCCCTTTCCATGATACTTTTGATTCAAACATAAAGGTTCTTTCTGTTTCAAATTTTCTGTGGATTCAACAAGTCTTGGAGTACCAGATTTACTAGACAAAAGATCAGACTTTTGCCTAATATCTGCTGCAAAACTCAGCAATTTTGGTTTGACAGAACTGAAGCCTCGTTTCAATTTCAGTGTGTTAATCTGTTCTTCTAGACCAATAGCAGCCAAAATTTCCACTTGTCCAATGACCTTATCACTGTTCGGAGAATAAATTGTTACAAAGCCATCTGAACCAATCACAGGCAGCTAGAAACATATTAAAATTATTTAATATGAATAGAGTGTAGTCAACCTTCACTCAATTCTCTATAAGATATATTTACAAGATGACTTGTATAAAAAAGAATATAAAATTAGACATTGAGAAATGTAGAGCATCCAAAATAAAAATAAAAGACGTTAAAATCTTATTTCATATAGCACACACCTCTTTCTTCAAGAGATGCTGTGTAATAACATAGTTCCTGAAGGCCAGGTAAAACTGATGAAGTGATACTCTTGCTAAGCCAATTAAAGATCTTCTGGATTCCTCAAGCTTCCAAAATTCTATCAGCATGTAATTTTCTCGGAAAGAGTATAACAGATCATTGTTAAGAAGTATGGGCACCAACTGTAACAGAAGGCCACATTTCTTATTATCTATATAATCTACAAGTTTAGCAAAACCCATTATTAAGAAAAAAGTATAAAGAGAAGAAATATTTAAAAAATTATTAATTTTTTCAGAGTTTCTGGTAAAAACAAGGCTTTTCTCTATCAGCTATTTGTTTGCTTTAGGCCCGTATCGTCAGTCGTCCCTACAATTGTAGGGCGCGTTTATGGCCTTCTTGATTGTCATACTCCTTTCTCTCCTTCAAAAATTTCTAGATTACACTTGTCCCGTGTCAGCGTCAGCGCTCTCCTACTGTGAAGGTATGTTTTCTTTTTAAATTGTAGGTAATTTTAGGCTGATAAAACATGATATAACTCATAAGCAAGTACAATTTGATGCAAATAGATGTTTGTGACATAACCTCAAAATAAAGTTCTGACAAACGGAGAAGTAGAAAACTATGGCCTCCTTGATTGTCATACTCCTTTCTCTCCTTCAAAAATTTCTAGATTACACTTGTCTCGTGTCAGCGTCAGCGCTCTTCGCCTTAGGCCCGTATCGTCAGTCGTCCCTACAATTATAGGGCGCGTTTATGGCCTCCTTGATTGTCATACTCCTTTCTCTCCTTCAAAAATTTCTAGATTACACTTGTCCCGTGTCAGCGTCAGCGCTCTCCTATTGTGAAGATATGTTTTCTTTTTAAATTGTAGGAAATTTCAGGCTGATAAAACATGATATAACTCAAAAGCAAGCACAATTTGATGCAAATAGATATTTGTGACATAACCTCAAAATAGAGTTCTGACACGGAGAAGTAGAAAACTATGACAATCAAGGAGGCCATAAAGGCGCCCTACAATTGTAGGGACGACCGACGATACGGGCCTAAGTGAATAAAGAATGACACTGATTTTATGTTTGATTGCAGAAGCCATACAGCTATGACAGTTCACAATGTTTAACCGCCAAACTATTAAATCTGCCAAGAAAAAACTGCTGTCAGGCTGACAATGCTAGTCCATAACTAATAATATTAAGCATAAAAGTGCTAAACTGCTGGGCCGCTTTACATAGGCTAACTGAACTAATTTGAGTCAAATAAAAACTTGCCTGTGAAAAGTTGTATACTGGAAAAGAGCTGTTGAATATAACAGGACTCTCTGCTGAAAGCTCCTTTTCACTAAATAGCTGGCAAATAAGGTATGTGTTGACAGGTCTTGTTGAAAATTGTGCTTCAGATATGTAGATGAAGCCAAGTAATACCTAAAAAGTACATGTGAACACTGAAAAATAAATCCAAAAATAAATAAATGAAGACCAAATAATGACTTAAAATTATGGAAATCAACAGACAACTCTTTAAGTTTAAAGGTTACATTAAAGGAATGTTTTGAATGCTGACAAACTAAGGTAATTTAGCAAATATATAGTACACATATATTTTACTCTGAAATATACCATAAATTATTTGATAAGCAAGATCCTTACTTGACTATCATCTATACTGATTGGTGGTGCAAAATTATTTCTTATCAGCTTAGCATAATCATCTTTAATTCTGTAATCAACTTCTCTGACTGGACTTCTGGAAGTCTGTGTGTCTTTATTCAAATATTGTTTCTCTGGAACTTCTACACCAACATCCTTAGTAGGAGCAACGCTCTTTTCTAATCTCACAGATTTCTTTTCTGTTTTAGGAACCTCCTCCTTCAAGACAGGTTTAGTAAGTTCTAGAGGTGGAACCCTCACTACCTTTGTTGTCAAACTACTGGAACTTGAGCCACTTTTACAAGAAGTGTCTTCTTCTAGTTGACTCAATTTGATTGCATCTGAAAATATCAGTTTTGGAGTTTTGTAATCATGATGCAACCATTCGAGTCACAACAAGATATTTTAAGTTTCTATCAATAATCCTGAGGTTTTTGAAAAGTGGGTCAGGTATATTAGTGCTTTATGAGTGAATATATAGTAATTGGGATTTCAGTTTTCCAGCAAAAAAAATCTTGGGCAAATCAACAAATTGTGGTACTGAACAATTCAAATAATGTAATTATATGCTTTATTTGGAATATGATATGATGAAATTAACATAACCATCAAGATCCAGGTACAATATGAGTGAAGATTGGGAAAATGTTTACTCCTCTGGCTTACCCCATTCCTGACTTTCATCACAAATATCAACAAACATCAATATATGTAGCTGATACTCCTTATATTGCTAGATAAAAATTATAGCATATTTATGTGCAAAGAGACACTAAAAAGTTGTATAAACGCAAATAAAACGTTTTTAGTGGATCTCAAAAATTGTGTCACCATCACCTGATGCAATTCAAATTGCATATTTTCATGTAAATGTGACAACTTCGCGATTTGATCTTGATCAATGCATTGCAAATTAAACAAGTTTGTTACTAGCACTACTTGGCCAAGTGGAACCAGGGACCTATCAGTTACTCATATAGTCTCGACAGAAATCCTTTTGCCAGTGGTTCTAGTATTTACCCTGGTAAGTATATCTTTGTGAGCTTTATTTGTACTTTTCTACAGCTATGCAAAAAATATCGATTCTTGGATACAAAAGTTATGATTCACATACAATAATATAATAATGTATATAATTTTTTCCCAGGCCACATACATTTTTTTACTGCCCAAGCATCATTTCTTTGGCAATTTTTCCTACTGTTTACTATTTTATTTCTTTAGATAAAAAAATATTATAAATACTGAAAGCAATGGCTACAAGCTGGTATCAGAAAAATTTCTAGCTTCCAAACGTAGCTGTTACCCTGTTTCAAGACTAATGGAACTAAAGAGTTATTTTTAATAAAGAGCTATTGAATTTATTTTGCCAATTTAAATCACATTTAGTAGTACCTATTTTATAGTTTAAACTGTTCAAATGTCACCTTCCTAGCCACACATTTCCCCTGGTGCCTACAAAAGTTTTCAAAGCCAAAATATTAACTGACCCTGTCAAATATGTATCATATGTAAACAATATGAAAATGAAATATTTTTCTTACCATATATTCACCCATATAACAAAAAAAAATAGTTGGTATTTAAATGTAATTAGCTTTAGTTAAACTTCGTCAAAAATTACAATTAACTAGACTTAAAAGTAAAGCATACCTACAAGATCTTGGCCAAAATATAGTCTATCACAGCCTAAGTGACAAGATAGCTTCAATGTTCCAACAATTATAGGAGTTTTGTCATTTAAAATTACTGATAAATTCTTGTGATATGTCAGATCTTTTGATTCAATGAATGTGCCAAAATTAAATTTTGTATATCCTAATATAAATGATGATTTTTGTTTTGGACATCTATAACATATTGTAAATTCAACATTTATCTGTTGTAGATCAACTACAGCTAAACTTTTAATATCATGAACAGAGATATGTTTAAAACAAACAGAATTACCACAAAGTTTAGAGCATAGCCTCATATGGTTTTGAGAAAAACTTTTATTTTGAGAATTAATAGACACTATTTGCTCTGGTATTTGATATTCCACAAAAAAGTTTGTGTTTAATAAAGGCATTTTATCCTTACAATCTGTTAATACCTTTTGAATGCCTCTATCAGTTAATTTAAGGTTATTTATGAGCAATTTTAATGAATTTACATATTCTAAAAGATGGAGATTGTGATTCTCTGGTCTGTGAGAGGTAATTATTGGTGTCTCATCATTGAGATTATTTTTATGCCTATGTTTGTTGTCAGATTTCAAATAAGAATTATATATCTGGCAAGTGGTACAATGACAAGGCTCAATCTGTGATCTTAAGCTTCTTGCTGTAGTGTGACACAACTCTGGGGCTGACAGAGATCGAAGTGTATCTAAAGCTAATTGTTCTTCCTCCTTGGTCATGCATTCTCCTTTGATAAAGGCTTCCAATAGTTTTTCATCTGCTGCAGAGCAGGAACTATGATGATCCTTAAATTTTATGTTCTTGCTCATGTCTGTTCTACTAGACAGAGGAGTGTTGAAGTGTTTGTTATAGATTAATATGTCTGTGTTAAAAGGGTCGTGTTTTAGAATGGATTCGATCATAGAAGCCCTCAATTTTTGGCCCTGCTCTAAAATTTTATCTACTAATTTGTTGTCGACCATTTTGAGAACTAAACACTTCAATAGAAGATCGGAGTGGCGAAATTAGTTTTTTGAACACAACACTAACCACTATTTTATACACAGCCGATCAATGACCGATTCTCTTTTGAATACATTATCAATTTTTTGTTTAATTTAAGCTAGACGTTGTCCTTGTTTGGATTTTCTTGTAACCGTCAATGTCAGCACAAAATGTAACTGTTCAATTGTTGACGGAACTGTCGTCCATCTGTCATCAACGGTGGCCTGATTGCAAATGAGGCAATGTATTCGACTTGGGTAAAAGGCGTGGTTACTACCTAATACGTCATAACCACGCCTTTTTTTGTGAACTACTATCCAACTATAAAACAAATTCTAGTTCCGCTTGTCCACGTGCATCGTGAAGCCCCGACCTCTCTACCAGTGTTTCAGTACCGTGCCAAGTGACTGTGAGTTCGGTTAGTTCGTGGCATACATCGTATTTTTCACGAGTATCCATTACTTTTTGATGTCTACTGAGGTTAACAGCTGATCACAAGGGCGACATCTTTGTAATGTTGGCAATAATGTATTCCAGGACCGTATTCAGAGCTGTTGTTCACATATCTTGATTATACTTTTAAGTGACCAAAATGTGACGATAAAATGTAGGAATAAAATGTGAAAACAATACATAATACAGACACGTGTGTCTGGTTTATTGTCCGTCATCAGTGTAACGTAATTCAAGAGTAGCAAGTACAAAATGAAGCTGTAGCGAACAAAAAACCACAACAAAATACGGATCTGTCTACCCGGCGTTGCGGATCTCTCAGCACTAATTATGTGACACTTGTCGACATGGAGAGTTGTTCTATCGTTATGGATACTCCTGAAAAATACCGTAATAACCTTAATTTTGGATTAGGAGGACTTTGTGTTTAAATAAAGACAGCGCAAAGCGCCATCTATCACCAGAATCGTCCACTGCGGGAGTGCAATAGCTGCTATTAGTTGGAACTGTTCACGTTTAATAGCCATGGCTGACGGTTTTGTGTGCCATTTAATAAACTAAATATGATCCTTTCGGACGTCCAACCAAAATACATCCAAACAAACCGTTTCGTACTTATCCGATACTCATCAGCATAATCTAGGCTTGGTCTCTCGTCTCTGGGGCAACGAAGATGAGATGAGAGACCAACCTTACACCATGCTGATGAGAAGCCAATAAGCACGAAACAGCTGCCCATGGTTGGCTGTTTAATTATTTAAGAATAGTGGTCCGAAAGTAGTGAGTTTCCTTTTCGGAAACAACTACGCTTGGAATAAGAAAGCGGTACATCAGCAGTGAAATAATATAATAAATATTTCAAGGAATATCACGCCGTTTGAATGTGAAAAATGCGCATTCATGTTTTTCAAAGATATGGACTACTCTTATCCAAAGATGCCTCCTCTGAGGAACGAACACTTTCTTTTATGATTAGAAGTATAGTCAAAAAATAAATCTAATATATATACAGGGTGTTCCATAATTATTGCGACAAAATGATAGGGGTTGTAGAGGGCATAAAAATATGCAATTTTGCCTTATAAACCCCTGTTCGTAAATATGCCGTTTGAGCACTACCGCTAATTTTACCTTAAGAGAAACAAAAAATTCAACAGCTGCAAAATGTTCGTCTAGCACATTTCATGGTCTCGCCGATTAGTAAAAAAAAGCCTGCTGTGTTTACATTTTTGTTATCGTAAATTCTCCACACCGATTCATTTAATTTATCTGAGTGGTGCGTCAAACTAGAGGCCAATCCGCGTACAAGCGTGCGTGCTATTGCACATGAAATGGGAGCGTCTCAAACTACTGCTTGGCGGGTTCTCCATGACCAGCAACTACACCCATACCACCTTTTAAAAGTCCAAGCCATGGGTCCAGAAAACTATCTGCCGCGTCGACGTTTTTGTCGTTGGTGGCTGCAGCAGGAGTTGAGGCAACCAAACTTTGGTCGCTACGTTTTGTTCACTGACGAGTCCTGTTTCACAAAGGAAGGTTATTTTAATAGCCGTAACAGTCACATTAGGGATGAAGAAAACCCTCATGCCATAGCCATCCATAGAGACCAACATAGTTTTCAATTAACATCTGGTGCGGCATTGTGGACGAGCATATCATCGGGCCATATTTGCTTCCACCACGTTTGGATGGGCATGCTTATGGTCGATTCTTACAGCATGTGCTACCGGAACTATTAGAAAATGTGCCACTGAACATAAGAGCCAACACGTGGTTTCAACACGATGGCGCTCCAGCCCACTTTTCTTTACAAGTGCGGCAGTATTTGGACGACAAATAGGTGGATCGGCCGAGGTGGCCCTGTGCCTTGGCCTGCGCGGTCACCCGACCTGACCCCACTGGATTATTTTCTCTGGGGCCATCTGAAAGCTTTAGTGTACGAAACTACTGTTCCCAACCAACAAGAGCTACTGGGAAGAGTGATGGCCGCGTCCGCACATGTTCAGGAGAAACCGGGGGTATGCCACAGAGTTCGCCGATCATTGAACAATCGTGCACAGCTGTGTATTGAGCAAGGTGGAGGACACTTTGAGCAATTACTGTAGGTAAGCTGTTTCAAGAAACTGATCTTTTTTTTTTGCTGCATCCCAAACGGTATATTTCCGAACAGGGGTTTATAAGGCAAAATTGTTCATTTCGATGCCCTCTACAACCCCTATCATTTTGTCGCAATAATTAATTTTCAGATAATGATTGTAGAAGGAAGATAAACCAAAATATGTGTGTATAAATAAAAAAAAATGTTATCTTGTTTTATTAAGTATCCTCCCGACAAGTATTTCAGTGCGGACCTGTATTTGATCGTGCGGTCTTGGAGCACCGGCATGCCCTCCCCTGTGAGGTCTTAAGTCACCTGATTCACGAGCCCTTTGTACTACATTAACAAAGGCACGAGGGGTTGGTTGCACTCGATTGGGAAACCGATCCGCATAAATCCGTGATGCCGCCGCAGCATTTTGTCAAGGCTCCCCCCCGTAAATAAGAATCATGTCCACAAGTTCACCATTTTCGTAAACATGTGCCATTTTTTATTTCGTTTGAGCCACGCAACAAACACCACTATTCACTCACGCGTTACCGACTGACACATTGACTGAATACAACTAAAAACATCGTGATAAGCGTTTCAAATTCTTTCGCTTTTTTGTTTCCGATGTGATGAACCGATAAGGCGGATTATATCCGTTGTTGCCAAACACGAGCACATAATATTATTATTGAGACGGGGCGGTACTCAAACTTCTAAAGGGCTATAACTTCGTTACTTTAATTTTACCAGAAAAATGTTAAAGGAAAAAAACATTTCTTTTGATCAGATCTACTCACTGTTAAAATAAATGACTCAACTTCGAAGTCACCCTGTATATATATATTTATCTGGCGTAAAACATATTTATTATTTTGGTACAGTTTTATAAATTATGGAAAGTTTTCCGAACATGATTCCCTGTTTTGAAAATTTGGTAATTCCCATTACAAATTCGCCATCAGCGACCTGATAAACTACGGATATTGTTCCTTTAAAATGGTTGATATGGAAATCAAACATGAATAGATATATCGAAACAACCGCAGGTAGCATTACGTTGATGATGATTGTAGCAATATATTGCGTTTATGGCTAGCCCGTTTCTATCGAACTGAATGTATGAGTGAATAGTTTTCGCTAGGATTACATCATCGCCTAAGTTCTAACACAGCGTAACTCAAAACTGACTTCTTAAAAGAGCAAAAAACGGTAGATCTTTGGATTCCCTTTCGAATCACACGCATATCTTGATGGCGCCATTTTTTGAGTGACGCGATGTTAAAACTTAAGCCACGATATGTGAAAATTATTTAAGAAAATCCTTTGTCTAGGAACGTCTCCTTCAGGGCCTGTTTCTTCACAATCAAGGTATTTCGCAAATCGAGAGCATCAAATGCAATAGTTTGAGAATAGTCCCAGAAGTCACTCACTGAATTATTGTTTCTTTCTTTGAGAAACGCCCTGTATATAACTAAACTAAGACAATACCACCATGCTCTGTTACAAATAAAAGTGTCAAAAATGTGAAGTAGTGTACAGAGCCATATACCACTCCACTGACGTCATAATATGTACGAGAGAAAATCGCGAGAAGCGTGCAATAGGTATGTTAGAAGGAGATAGAAGCACCATGTTGCCTAACGAACCCGAGTGACGAGGACACAGATGCAGCTGCGTTTGCCGCGTCGCCATCGGCGCTCCCTTTCTAACACACGTACTACTGAAGGCGTCTCACGCTTCTCTCTTGTACACATTACTTCTTCAGTGATATTTGAATTTCTCTGTATATGCTTATGAGCTGGTAGATGAAGAGAGCGAGCCTTGAACACCCTTACGGTTAGATAACTATGATGACTACTTACCATCTCCTTTCAATAAAATAAACTCGTTTTTTTCTGATTTTGACCGTTAAAAATTATTTTTATCAAATTTGCTCACAGCGTTAAAGGCGAGAGCAGAAAGATTTTTTTATTATATTCCTGTCCGAATGTCTGAATTTTCCATTAACTACCTAATCACAGAAAACATGAACACATGAGGCTCGATTTCCAATCATGCACTAACGGACATGCAGCGCTACCAAGCCGAAAAATGCAGAATCACTACTTTATCTATATTGGCGACAAGCTGAACTTACAGGCAAGAAGACTTACAGAACCCTTTTATTTCTACGCCATCACCGATGCGCTTACAAATTGATCAGGGTTGCAAGGTGTGATGATTTTCCATCAAATCTGGTGATTTTTCACCCGTTTGTATCCATTACATATTTGCAATAATAATAATAATATCTAATATTTGTAACATAACCTCAAAATAGAACGCTGAGACGGAATATAGAAAAATATGAAAATTAAGGAGCCATAAAGGCGTTCTACAATTTGTAGAAACGACTGACGATACGACCCTAAATGACACACACTTTGTGTTTTTCACCAAACTAACGAAAATAAATATGAGAGACCATATATATTTTGAATAACAATAATAGAGCCTATCATCTTCCCTTAAAATATACAGGGTGTTCTATAAAAAAGATAGAGGGGTGTCAATGTATAGCCGTACTTTGTAAAAATCTGATAAGCTACCCCTAGAGCAGAAAATCACAAGTAGGTTCAGCTTGATTTGCACCGCTCGAGTA